GGGATGGGCTCCAGCCCTGCAGGGTTTAACCCCATGGGGCCCACGGAGTCACCCACCCACCCTGTGGAGGAGAGTGCAGGGCAATGAACCCCAGGGCTCAAGGACAGCTCAGTACATGAAATAAATAATAGAATTATAATAATGAAAAGAGGGAGGGGGATTGCTCAGCCTGGAGACAAGGGGGCTCAGGGGGGACCCTGTGGCTCTGCACAGCTCCTGCCAGGAGGGGACAGCCTGGGGAACAGGGACAGGAGGAGAGGGAACAGCCTCAGGCTGGGCCAGGGGAGGTCAGGGTGGAAATTGGGAATGTTCCTTCTGGAAAGGGATTTCCAGTCCTGGCACAGCTGCCCAGGGCATGGTGGAGTCCCCATTGCTGGAGGGATGTGACATCCATGTGGATGTGGCACTTGGGGATGTGGTCAGTGGTGGCCTCAACACTTAGCTGGACCCCATGGTCTCTGAGGGCTTTTCCAGCCTCATCAATTCCATGATTCTGTGGATAAAACCCAATGGGAAGCAGTGATGCCCCAATCCCCTGGATCACCAGGCTCTGATCAATGCCCAGCCTGTCCCCTGCAGTGCCTGGCAGCTCCCGGCCAACTCTCCCAGTTCATACTGGGCAGGATGCTCTGTGCTGTGGGACACCCCTCTGGCCAGGTGGGATCAGCTCTCCTGGCCATGCTCCCCACCTTCCTGGGAAATCCAAAACTCCTCCATCCAGAGTGAGCAGGGCTCAGGGACTACCAAACCACCTGTGTGTCATCGACACCATTCTCACACCCAACTCCAAACACAGCACTGCCCCAGCCATGGAGAAAATCAACTCCATTCCAGCCCAGATCAGGACAATGCCCTCCAAAAAAACCTGTACAAGGTTAAAACTCACCAAGGAGTCTGTGAGCAGAGCAAGGATGCAGAACAGAGGGACTGAGCAGGAGGCCACGTCCTGTCAGCACAGGGCTGCCCTTTGGTCTGTGCTCAGCTCCTCACCAGTAACACAATTCCTCACCAGTAACACAATTCCTCACCAGTA